TTTTTTTTATTTTTGCTCATTTTAGGCAAGAATGAATAACATTAGAGTGTTTGGTTACAAAATTCTTGCCATGAGCCACATTCTTTTTAAAATGAAAAATCAGCCCCATAGCACAAAAAATTGAGTAGCTTGCAACATGAAAAATAATCATGTCCCATCTTGCTCATTTAATTCTTTGAGGAAACTCTACCTACAAAACTGTTTCCTAAATATTTACTTTTGTGAAAGCACTTTTACAAAACTACTTTTACGAAAGCACTTTTGTAAAAATAAATTTATGAAAAGTACTTTTACAAAAGCACTTTTACAAAAGTACTTTTACGAAAGCACTTTTGCATTAAATCACTTTTATGAAAGCATTTTTATAAAAGCANGGAGACCTAGGCTAGCGATTTATGAATACCAGCACAGTTTTTCTTTTTTTTTTTTTTTGAAGAATGAAAATGCACAACATAGGACACTAGTTAGTCTGAAAAGAATTCACTTTTAGGAAAAAAGTGTTTGGTTCATAACAATATTTTCTCATTCTGCCTATTTTTACCCATTCTTGTCCATTTTAGAATTTCATCTTAGGTAAGAATGAAAAGGAATGAGAATTGAACCAAACATGGCCTTTCTTTCCCCATTGGTTATCTCACTCTCTTCCTCTCTTCTSTTGTTGGAAGAAGAAGAAGAGAAATATTATCATCGAAAAATGATACAAAAAGAAGAAGAAAAATATCACTAACGAAGAATGATACAAAAGAGTATAGGAGGGTAAAATAAGAATTTAAACTTTTTAAGTCCCACGGGATCAGCCCATAAGGGGCTCAGATCTGCTACCACAAGTTGTTCCCATATACCTACTCACTGCACATAACAGCTGCTTATTGGGAATATCTCCCTTTTCATTCATAGGGAGATGTTCCCAGTACATGGCGGTGGTGTTCCATGGGTAGAGATGTGGGAACGTTTTGTGGTTAACAGATATGAAGTGGCCCATAAGGTATATTTAAGTCTATTTTAAAACCTTAAGGTATGTTTAAGTCAATTTCTGTAAAGTGAGGATATGTTTAAGTCTTTTACCCTCTTTTTTTTCGCTCATATAAAGTGGGGACCACATGATTTTGCTTCCTACCTTGCTCTTTCCAAGCAAATAACTTTGCCTCCATTCTTTTTCTTTTTTATTTTTTTAGCATACTTCCATTCTTTTTCATATATACTAGTAAACATGAACACACATTTGCACRTGACAGTATCTCTAAGACAAAACTATTTATAATTCATTGACAGTTTTTGAACAGTTATAAGTGGACATTTTCTAGACAGTTATAAATGAACAGTTTCTGGATAGTTATAAGTGGACAATTTCTAA